TAATTTCCCCAACTCTTAAACGACTCCTCGGGTAGAAAATCTTGCTTCGAACAACCACAAGATCTTCTTTTGATCCCTTCTCCACCACCGGCGTCACCGTTTGGTTGACTCATTATGAATTTACACAGAAACAGTCAACCAAAAAAGAAACTAATCGAGAGAATCAATTAACTTAAGACAAGACGGGAGAATAAGAAAGGAAAATGGGGTTTATAAAGGAAGCAGAGACGACGGGTTACGGCCGGTACACACAGTGGTTTGAATATGAGAGGAAATTGACATGTGGAGGTTAATTTGGCAGTCACATTTGTTGTATCAAGCTGTGGTTTCTAAATTTAATTATCTCAACTGCTCAAAGGGCTTATACCACACTTCTTTAACTCCAAATCATTCTCAATTGGATCCTCAAGGATTTTTCTGATTTAATGTCGTCCCATCATAATCGAAATTATATTCCAATTAAAGCTAAATTTTAAAACTATTCTCCTAAAACTAGATTTGGTTAAATGAGCGGATTGTTAACTTCTAACTGTACAGTTTTACTTAGGGTACAATTATAAATAAAAATATTTATTTAACTTCATAATTATTTTACTCACTAATTTAAGTATTATAATTAGTATGTAGTTTAATAAAACTCTACAAAATAGTCTCTACGGTCGAGATTAATCGTTAGGATTTTATAATATTCTAATATTCTAATACTCTACTTGCATGAAGTCTAACACAGGGACCATTGTACGATGCAGAGAATTGAACTTGAAATTGTTGTCATGGGTTCACATAGTTGACTTGGATACAAAGTACAAAATCGAACTTTTATTAAGGATAAATTGGTGACACCAATCTAAGCTAATCAGGTAGGTGGTTGTACTATCCGCATGGTTAGAAATTGATGTTGTATGATGACACATGCCCCATAGTTCTGCACGTGCCATATGCTTGATATGTGTGAAATGTTTATGAAATGATGTGATGCGTTTGACGATATGTTTGAGATGTGCCATGTGAATGATATAATATATGTTATGGTACCATGTGTTTGACGATATGTTTGAGATATGTTCTTTCTATTTTCTTGTCTTAAATTAAACGTGTAAGTTCATGGCTTCATTTGCAAATATTGTATTTCAAACTACCACCTATATTATTTATGGAATTCATGTGGTGATGCTTCTAATTTAAGCGAGAATATTTAGGACGTTACATTAGGGAGTGTGATATGTGATGAGAGAATGAGGGTTGTCCTGCATGATTTTTTACGCCACGAAGAAAAATAAGGGAACCTCATGCATATTTGTATGTTCACGTGCATCGCTATTCCCTATGAGACAAAAATGACGAGTACGGACGCGTACACTATGAGACAAAAATGATTATCATGCTTAACATAGTTCAATGATGATCGCTATTCCCTCTGGGTGTTCGACAATAGTACAGAGTAGCTAGCCCTACCAGTCGGTCCAGAGGGTGCGCGAGCCTGCCTGGTGGGCCCATGCTCGCACATGTGGGTAGTGTGCAGCAAAGTACCATATATCCAATTTGCTAAGTTTGGAGAGTAGGCTTAGAGAATACGATTTAAAATGATAGGTCTCATCGTTATGCATGTGTTTGCATTCACCAACACCAATTGTGGGATCACTTAATGAATATTTCTTAAAATATTGAGGTCTTGTGTTATTTTTAAATTTCAGGTAAAGGCAAGACATCCATGTGTGGTTGACGATCATAGAACCTGTGTTAGTGTAGTTGCATTTTCACTTCTTAGATATTAGGTTAGATTAGGGCATCGTTTTAATTTTTTCTTTGGTTTTACTTATATTTCACATTGAATATTTTTCGTTGTTTTGGTTTTAAGACTCTTAATGCAAACGGATAAGTTCATAATATTATTTTATTAATTATTTTAAAGAATGTATCCACATAAAATTTATGTTAGATCATGCTAAAAAATAATAATTAAACAAATCAACTAATCTCATCCCTCCTCCAACCTCTCACATGCCCACTTTCCCCTCATCCCTCAATCAACTCCCCCCTTGCTCCCTCCCTTTCTTCCAATTCTCACTACATTATCTCCACATTTGTCCTAACACCACAAGATCTCCCATCATCAAAAATGAAAATCTTTCTCTTACAATTACAACATGAATCAATTTTGTCACATCGTTACAAGCTTCGAATGACAAGTTAAGCTAATCTTAAAAATAGAATAGAACGTCGGCCAAGGCCAACCAAGTAAATGACGTTATTATTGACATGGTTATATTTGATGCTGACACGTGCCTCGTGGTTATGCACGTCATATATTTGATATGTGTGATTGTTTATGAATCGATATGACATGTATATGTTATAATATGTGAATGATATGAGAACTCTTACATCATGATATGTTTGAGTAGGATACGAGAATGATGCGATGAACGTAATGTAATGATATGGCTAAGATATTAATATAACGACACGGTTAGGTTATGTATAGAAAATGATATGGTTATAATAGATTGAAAAAACGATTTGTATAGGTTATGTATAGAAAATGATATGATTATGATAGATTTATAAAACTATATGGTTAGGGTACGTTTGGAAAACAATATGACTAAGGTATGTCCATGAAATGATACGACTATGAGATGTATAAGGACAATAAGGTTATGACAAGATTAAAAATACGATAGGATTAGGATATGCATTATAGGGTAGGTTTTGTTGGATTCAAACTCTCGTCCAAATATAACATATTTGAACTTGGATGTAATAACGTGCTATATATAATGCACCCTATTAATTATTACATGGATGGTATATATTTAGATAAATAAGGTTAGAAAAGTAGTGAGCCTGTTGTATACCAATTTGATTTGACTATATATAAAAGAAACAAAACAATGGATTTGTGAACAAAGAAAAAGTTACCAACTTAAACTCCCAAAAAAAAAAAAAATAATAATAATAATAATAATAAAGCCTCAAACATAAACATATTCGGTTCTCATCATATTGTTTGCTTTTAAATCAAACATGATTATTAGCTCATGTTTTGCACAATCCAACTCAAAGATACAACTCTCATTCTCCCCGTGGGAAGTTGCAATTTGGAATCATATAAAGGATTCAATTCTCTTGGCTTACTACAAGTCTAAAGACAACGATTTAGGCAAACATGAAATCGAACTTGGAGCGAAATACTTTTGGACCTTTAAAGATAATTTTTGGCAATCAACACGATTTTGGTGCAATTTTAGCAGCAAACACGGACATGCTTGTGGTGAATTATTTTGGCCAGAAATGGAAAATTGGTTTAGTGATCAATGTTATAATAGTATTTGTACTTGGGCAGCACGAGACAATGGCATTTTCTTACGTCTTGGTTCTAAAGAATCATATCTATTAGAGTACACTTGGAAATGATGTCGAGTTTCATTGGGTTGATTTAAACCCAATGTCCAAGGATGTTGAGTTTCATTGGGTTGATTTCAACACAATTGTTGAACTAGACACGAGAAAACCCTTATTGCTTTTCTATTTTGAGATTGGAGGTCAATTCTTTTGTACTTGTCGAGCTAAAATGTATATGGATGATAATAAAAATAAAACATGTATATATATATAAACTTTTTTTTTTTTTTTGGGAAAGATACAAGTTGTAAGGACCTGGCTAACTCGATGACTTCATTAAAGACAGGAAAATTTTTAGCGAAATAAAACAAGAAAATTTAAAACATAATATACATTATATCAAAATAAAGTTCATACATGAGTTTTTAAAACACAACCCAACATTTAAGACACAAAATACGGAATGGACACAAAACATTTTAAAATAAAAAGATTGAGGACGACGGGTGAAACTTGTCTACGGCACCTACTCCAGAGTCCGCTCCCGACCTCGAAAAGCTCCTTATTACCTGAAAAATAAGGAATGAGTACAAAGACTCAGTAAGTAGCCTACTTGTAGGTTCTTAATCGTGTCCTTGATATGCTAGAGTATCACACTCTTTCTTTTCTTTTTCTTGTTCTTGTTGTAAGTACTTATGCTCTTTAGTTCTTATCCTTGACTTGTATGTTCTTATCACGATCTATTCTGAGAACCTTGGTCCTTGGATCCTTAAACTTAGTTCTAATCCAACGGCCGGTTCTTAGGTCTTGGTTCTTGGTCTTAGAACTTAGATCTTGATCCATGTTCTAGTCATTGATCTTTGTCTTGCTCTTGGTAATTTCTAGGTTCTTGTTTTGCTCTTTTAATGATATATAGTACTAAATTATAGTTTACCTTGTATATCATATTTGATATTTTATTATAAGCAAATGTCTCCTTAACATAGGTATCTTTTCATATATTGTTATTTTCATTTATTCTATTTCCATATCCTTGCAATTTATTTGATTATAAATAGGGAACTTTCACACACCATTCACTTGTGGTGGTTTAGCAAACATTCTCAGGTTCGTTCTCCAAGACACTCCCCTAAGATTTATGGCACTAGTCATGAACCGGGAAACCTTTATCCAAGGTTTCATGCGTTCCAATTGACAGAGTTTCATAATATTTGGAGGTTCTCTAGTTCATGAACCGAAGCTAAATTAACTTATGGGTATTATCGTCAATTTACATCATTTCTTGGTTTACCTACTTAACCTTATTTAATGACCACCAAATTTCATATATAGTCTTAACGTACCATATCATGCATTTGAGTTCACATGCAATCGTTCATGCAATAATACAAACATGCTCAATGGGAAGATAACGTTCATCTTCTTCCGAAGCGCAGATTTCACATATTTTCCTACATCCTTTATCATGCATACATTCAATATCGCATTGTCACTCTAAAATGATTTTAGAGTCGATCATATCTAGATCCTATTGATTTTCTTAATTAATTTATTTGCATGGCTTACATGCTAATATGTTAGGTCTAGCAAGCTAGGTTTATCAATTTTACAGCATGCATGCTTAATCCAAGCAGTTCCTACAAGTACTACTCGTTGGAATCCAAATGGTTACTTACATGGTTAACGCGTGTTTTCTCGATCTCGAGTCTCTCACTGGAGAGGGTTCCAAAAATTATGAAATTTCCTTGATGGGTCCTAATTCACATAATAATAAGGTCAGTATCGCAGTTGGGATGAAAAAATACCAACACGCAAAAAACGGGTGAGAATAGGGGGCTCCACGCAACTGCACGTACATGCAAGATCCCCCATGCGCTGGCACGCGCCCCCTGTCACAATCGCACTTTTAATGGCAGCGGACTTGCGATTGTGCGACACTCACTTTCCAATGACAAGTGAGCGAAGCCAATTCGTTCTTACGTCGCCTACGGCCAAGCGACGTATGCTCGAGCCTCTGATCTCAGTTTTAAGAGAAGGTTTTAGAAAACGAGGGTAGAGAGAGATTTTTGAAAGAGACGTTATATAAGCAAGAAAGAGAGAAATAACAACGGCTCACAGTATATAACCTTAGGTAGGGAGAAGTTGACAACTAGTCGTATCCCCCTATAGTACATTCTGAGGCATTTCATGCCTGACAGGCCTAAACATGATATTTTTGAAACGTCATACTTCCTAGAAATACAAAAGTAAAACACTAGAATATGAAAAGACATGAAGGGTTGGGTTTGTCATGGGCAACATGCCTTAGACGAGCATGATCGTGACATCCTCCCCCACCTAATTGGTTGACGTCCCTGTCAACCGATAACTTTCAAACCTGGTTATGTGGGTGGCGGCGGAGTCTAGATCTTCGGCGCGTTCCCAGCTGGTTTCCTCCATAGGGAGATTCTTCCATTTGACAAGTAATTCACGAATCGTCCATACAGGTCTTCCTATCTTCCTAACTCTGTCGGCTAGGATCTCTGCTATTTCTTTGATGTCTCTTTGTTTCAGATCGATGCTCGGTCTCGTGATTACATTTCACTGGTTTATACGTCCGGGTTAGGGTGATAGGGCTTCAAGTTGCTCACATGAATTATCGGGTGGATTTTCATCCATGTGGGTAGTGCAACTCTGTAGGAGGTAGCTTCGATCATTTTAAGGACTTCAACCGGGCCTTAATATTTTCGAACTAGTCCTGGTCCTTTCGACTGCAAAATCTGATTCATTCTGGTCTCAACTTGATGAGGACTTGATCTCCTGCTCGAAATTGTTGGGATCGACGCTTCTTGTCCGCCCACTTCTTCATATGCTTGGAAGCTTTCTCTAAATATGCCCGGGCTATATCAGTTGTCTGCTTCCATTCTCTTGTGAAGTTTTGAGCTTGAAGGTTTTTCCCTGGATAAGGATGATCAATAATATGAGGCAAGGCCGGTTGTCGTCCACTTACAATTTCAAAGGGACTCTTTCCCGTAGACGAGCTTGTTTGACAATTGAAATAGAATTGAGCGACATCTAACAGTTGTATCCAGTTCTTCTGGTGAGCGTCGATGAAGTGACGTAAGCATTCTTCGAGCAAGCAGTTGAACCATTCTGTCTGTCCATCGGTTTGAGGATGATAGCTCGTGGAGATGTTTAAAGTCGTTCCCAAGAAGGCAAATAGTTCGGTTCAGAATGTGCCAATGAATCTACCATCCCTATCACTGATGATGCTCGACGGAATGCCCCATAACTTGACAACTTGTTTGAAAAATAGTTGGGTTGTTAGTTCAGCCGAGCATAATTTGGGAGTGGGGACGAACGTCGCGTATTTTGAGAACCGGTCTACGATAAACAAGATGGCGTCATATTTCCCGACTTTTGGGAGGTGTGTTATGAAGTCCAGAGATACACTTTCCCAAGGCTTTGTTGGCACAAGTAGAGGTTCCAAGAGTCCCGAGACTTTGGTTTTTCGACTTTATCTTGTTAGCAGATGAGGCACGTCCTTGTGTACTCCATGATGTTGTCCCGCATACTTGGCCAAAAGTACCTCTTTTTTATTAGGGCGTATGTTCTTTGCCACCCAGGGTGTCCGGCCCATAAGGTATCATGACATTCATAAATGAGCTTCTTTCTCAGTTCTCCCGTTCTTGGAACGTATAATCTGTTTCCTTTAGTCATTAGAAGGTCTCCCTCGACCCAAAGCTATCGTGTCTTCCCAGCTTTATCTAGCTCAACGACAGCTTTAGCCGATGGGTCTTTGTGTAAATGTTCTTTGATGACGTTGTGCATCGATCCATCGATCTTACTTGACTGAATATAGGCTGACATGCACAGGGCCGCATGTTCGCCCTTCTGAGTCAGCGCATCGGCTCCTTGATTACTCTTCCCTGCCTTGTGTTCGAATTTGAAGTCGAATTTCGCCAACGACTCCTGCCACCGGGCTTGTTTTTTCGTCAATTTTGGTCGAAGAAGTGGCAGATGACGCTATTATCCATCTTCACTATGAACTGTGATCCCAAGAGATACTGTCTCCAAACTCGTAGGCAATGGACTACAGCCAGCATTTCTTTTTCGGAGACAGTGTATCTCCGTTCGACATCATTGAGCTTTCGACTTTCATAAGCGATGAGGTGGCCTTCTTGAATAAGGACACCGCCTAGGGCAAAGTCGGACGCATCTGTTTCTATTTCAAATGGCTTTGTAACATCTCCTAACCTGAGGACAGGATCCCTCGTCATGGTTGCCTTAAGATCTTCAAAGGTCATTTGACATTTATTTGACCACGACCAAGGGTGGTCTTTCTTCAGGAGCTCCGTTAAGGGGGCGGCTCGTCGTGAAAACCCTTCGACGAACCGCCTGTAGTAGTTTGCTAATCCTATGAAGGATTGCACATCGGATACAGAAGTAGGGACTTTCCACTCTTGGATAGCTTTTATCTTATCGCTATCCCTCCCGATCTTTTCACAACTGATGACATGAATAAGGAAGTTGATGCATGTTTGTGTTCCCCTAGGGTTGTGCTGTATACAACTATGTCGTCAAGGTATACTATGACGAACTGATCAGAGTATTCATAGAAAACCTGGTTTATTAACGTGAAAAACGTAGCTGGGGCGTTTGTCAAGCCAAAGGGCATTACTAGGAACTCGAAGGTCCCATATCTTGTTACGCACGTCGTCTTGGACTCGTCCCCCTCAGCGATACATACTTGGTAGTACCCTGATCGTAAGTCCAACTTCGTGAAGTATTTGTCCTCGTGAAGTTGGTCGAACAAGTCAGATATTATCGGTAGCGGGTATTTGTTGCGTACCATCACCTTTTTTAAGGCTCTATAATCTATGCATAAACCCAATGTCCCATCCTTCTTTTTCTGAAATAGTACGAGGGCTTCGTAAGGTGCCTTTGCCGGGTGGATGAATCCTGCTGTCAACAACTCATCTAGTTGTTTCCTCAATTCGGCTAGCTCAGGGGAAGCCATTCGGTATGCGTTCTTTGCTGGGGGTTTAACCCCCGGAAGGAGTTCAATTTCATGATCAATGCCTCGACGAGGTGGTAATGTTTGTGGTAAGCTCTCTGGCATTATGTCAGCATAACTGTCTAGTACCTCCTTGATTTCGTCTGGGATAGTTTCTTCAGTGGTCACTTCTTCCATCACTGTATAGCCATAAATGTAGGTTCCTCTCGTGCGAGTCCTCTTTTCAATTGTATAGCTGAGATCATTCTAAGATTACCTAGCTGCTTGATGCCTGCAGGTATTACTGTAGGGTTGCAGTCAGTGATCACCAAGCATTTCGCTAGTGGCATTGGGATAACTTTGTCTTCAAGAAGGAACTCCATCTCAAGTACCACGTGAAAGTCGTCTACGTGGACTACGACAAGGTTCAGCTCTCCTGTCCAAGTGCCTAATTTGAAGGGGACTCTTTTGGAAACTCCCACAATAGGCAAGGCCTCGGAGTTGACAATTTTCATTTTTAGAGGGTCTTTCTCTATGGTGAGTCCAAATCTTCGTGCTTCTTGATCTGTGATGAAGTTGTGAATCTCTCCTGAGTCTATCAAGGTGCACTTGATCGGTCGAGAGTTTATTGTCGCATCCACAAGCATGAGCCCTTTCTCTATTATCTCCTTCGGGTCGGCCTTCCGTTGGAGGGCTGACAAGAATTTGAGCGCACTCATTTAGGGGTTGTCTTAATCTTCCTTCTTGTCTAGCATAGTCTTGACTCTTGTGTCGTTGCTCTCTTGAATGGACACTTGGAGTGTAGTGAGAGAGGCCCGATGAGGACATTAGGAAACTTTGTGGGGGCCTTTACACAATATGTATTGTAAAGGTGTCGTCGGGTGGTTCCTTTGAGTGTAAGGTCCTCGAGATGTCCCTGCTTGGTTGTTCTAAGGAGGTCTATCTGTCCACCCGCTTGGTCTGTCGTTACTTCCGTTTGGCCTGTTGGGGCTTCCATTTCGATGACCTGGCAGCTTATATGTTTTGCCCCCAGTGTTTGGGGCCTGTGTTGTTTTTCTTTGATAACCTGCTTCGTTCCCATAGTCTAGAAGTCTCTCGGCGCTGGCAATTGCGGTAGCTAGGTCTTGAATCTTTTTCTCGTGTACTTTTGTTTTGGCCCACGGTTGTAACCCATTTATAAAGAAGAACATCTTGTCCTTTTCTAATGTGCCCCTAATATCTAGCATCAGGGTCGAAAATTGTCTGACATAGTCCCTTATGCTTTCAGTTTTCTTTAGGGCTATTAGTTTTTCTATTGCTAGATGGTCTACGTTTTCGGGGAGGAATTGGTCCCCTCAACTCTCTCTTGAGGTTCCAACGAGTCTACGGTGCACAATCCATCCTCGATGTTTTGCACCTTCGTACGCCACCAAAGTTTTGCGTCGTCTGTGAGATACATCGAGACTACTGTCACCTTTATGTCGTGGGTACAAGTCGGTGTGGCTTTGAAGTACTGTTCGACATCAAAGATGAAGTTCTCCAACTCTTTGACATCCCGGTTCCCTTTGAAAGGTCTAGGGTCTGAGAACTTCAATTGTTGGATCCTGTATTAGTTTGCCCAGCCGAGACGTTCTCCACGGCTTTCATGGTCACCTCGATACGGGTGCTCATGGTGGACATCTTTCCTTGGATGTCATCGATCGTTGCTCTGAATTCGTCATCTAATCCATTAAACAAACTCATCATTGTATTTTGTAGCACGTTGAACTCTCCACCACGTCCCTCCTTGTGCGCGACAGAGCTATTGGATCTACCAGACGGTCTTGGGCTGCTCATAGGAGCAACTTTTTCTTCGAGTGAGGTCACTAGAAACATCTGTTCTGCAATTGGCAACCCATCCAGGCGGTTGCCCATTGCGTCGATCACTACGACTTTTTCACTCAATTCCTTCACCCGTGCTTCACTTCCAGAAAGCGGAGGGTGTCAGGGACTTCTTTGAGAAACAGCATTTCCTTCTCTATTAAAGTAAGCCGGTCGGCTTGTGATTTGGGTGTCGACTTTGTCGTCGACATGTTTTCGGTCTTTGCTATTTCACAGAGCTTACAAAGCTCTAATACCACTTGTCACAATCGCACTTTTAATGGCAGCAGACTTGCGATTGTGCGGCACTCACTTTCCAACGACAAGTGAGCTAAGCCAATTCGTTCTTACCTTGCCTACGGCCAAGCGACGTATGCTCGAGCCTCTGGCCTAGATTTTAAGAGAAGGTTTTAGAAAACGAGGGCAGAGTGAGATTTTTTAGAGAGAGATTTTGGAAAGAGACATTATATAAGCAAGCAAGAGAGAAATAACAACGGCTCATAATATATAACCTTAGGTAGGGAGAAGTTGACAACTAGTCGTATCATCCTATAGTACATTCTGAGGCATTTCATGTCTGAGAGGCCTAGACATGATATTTTTGAAACGTCATACTTCCTAGAAATACAAAAGTAAAACACTAAAATATTAAAAGATATGAATGGTTTGGTTTGTCATGGGCATGCGGCCATGGGCAACATGCCTTGGCCGAGCATGACCGTGACACCCCCCACGCGCAATGAACAGAGGCGGTCAGCTCGGGCATCGCGCGAGCAGTGGCGCACATCGAACCCCAACGACGCAAACTTACCCTTCAAATTTTTTGGGCGTCACACATGGTGCACAGGGAGTGGCGAGATCGTTAGGTTGGACTGTGGGTCGTGAAATCGGTTGCGGGTCAGTTTGGTGGTTCCAGACGCTGTTTGATTCACGTGAGCATTTTGATTTCGGTTTGACCCGAATTCGAGCGTGTTGTCGCGTCTCAACAGGTAGGTTGAATGCATTTCTCTAGCAAAATGTTGCCACGTGTCACCTGCTCCGCCGCGCTGCTTTGTAAATTAGGCGACGTGTGGCAGCAATTTTCTCTCTCAGGTGTGTTTTCAATTTTTTAGGATCGACTCAGTTTCTTCACCAACGTCAGAGATTTTTTATTCACCTACATCGACGTATTTTTCTTGAACATAGAATGAATTGAATACATTCAAAGATACGGAAAAACTCACGTTTTCTATTCTTGTCCATTTCACTCGAACTCCGATTAAGCTCTAATTTTGGTTCGGGATTCCTTCAAGAAGCCTGTGTGAATCCTCTTTTAATTACACACCTCAAA